TGTTCTACATTCTGAGCACCTCGCGTACTGGCGGACGCCTACTGGGATATGATTCATTTTATCGTACAATCACCGGGACCAGCAACTCGAACCGGCCGAAATTGTTTGTGACTTCGAAGCGCCACTGTTGGACGCACTACAAACACAGTTTCCGAACGCAATTGTGTTGGGGTGCTTGTTTCATCTGAAACAAGCACTCCGACGGGCTATGAAGCGCTATGCTATTCCGGAGGAAGAGTGTCTGATTGCAATGACACGTGGTGTCCTAGACACCCTGACGGTGATTGATCCTGCTCACATCGAGCGAGGTATTAAGTGGGTAAAGCGTGAGATCAAGTTGCGCTGTGCTCAAGCTGGCGTGACCTACTCTACTGAAAAATGGGCCGATTTTTGGGGGTATTTCAACCGCACTTGGCTGGAGCAGTATACCATCGATGTCTGGAACGTATTCGGCATGAACAACGAGTTGGTCGCACGAACGAATAATCCCCTGGAGAGGTTTAACAGGGAGCTTAATACACGTTTCCCAACCCCGCATCCTTCAATGGCGACATTTGTGACGGTGATCAAGGCTATATCAGCTGAGTACGTACGCCGCGTTGCTGATGTTCCTCGTGGGCGAGCCCGCCGTGTTCCTCGCGAGGTCATTCAGCTACCACAGGTTGTGGACATTCCCTCTGACGTTGACAGCGACGTGGATCCTCCACTGGAGGAACTGGAGGCAGTTGCTACACCCGCAGCGGACGGTAGTACACTCACTAGTGCTACGTTGTAGATATGTCCGTGTAGCAACCAGAAGACCTCGGTATATGCTTCATCTTCTCCCCTTTAAAAGTGTTTTTCTTTGGTTTCAGTCTGTTCATAATTCAGGTCTCAAATCCTGATCTCTAATCCGATCAGTTCCGCATACGTACCATTTGGGAATCTACCGTTGTTATCAATGATACCAAGAGGGATCATATTCTGATCGAGAAATGATAGCGTCAGTTCTGAATTGGTTCCTTGCATGGGACAATACGCTAATTCTTGTCCTTGAGACGTTGTGATTAGACCGCCATATTCAATCCCAGCAGACGTGAATGTGTGTAGTACTTGATTGTTGTTTGCGATTGGATTGTAGAGATTTGAGCAAGTAATAACAACAGCGGCTGTCGGGTCTATCTGAGGCACCAAATTGCTATTAACCGCATAAACACTAGTCGTTTGCGCCGCTGGATATATAGCTGGGCTGAATCCGATGATAGTTCCGAAAGCAGCATTATCTACTTGGAGCTGAGGCGTGTATGCAGTAGCTGGAATCGTTGGAAATCCGCTAGCAGCAGTGTATCCAGTGATATTCTTCACTGGCTGCAAACTAAACTGTAGAGCATAACTGGAGGGATTCTCGGCACATGAGATGAAATAGTAGTACTGTCCAGTCGTGTTATTGATCAGATAAAGATTGTTCTGAATGCAAAAGTATTGGAGGTAGTTGTTGATCTCGCTTGCTGAATATGTGCCATCAGGGAGTGTGATAGAATAAGTAGTTGTAGTAGAAGCTGTCGGCCATATGATCTTGAAACTATTGTTTTGGCGCTGAGCAGTAATTGCTCGCCACGAGTAGTATATAGATATTGATCCTAGTGCAATTTCATACTGACTGAAGTCAATTGGCTGCGAGAATCGATATCGGAACTGGTGAGTAGCCACTTGATTGTTCAGATTTAACAGAATTGGAAAGCTCATTTTATCTACTTGTATATACTATCCAAAAGAAAGAAAAATGCATCGACGAAAGAGGATTCGACGACAATTAATGCCTCAGGCAATGGAGATTGATGGATCAGGCGAGGTAGATCACTCGAAACCTGTAGCACCATCCAGAAATGACTACGGCTCAACAAATATTGAAACATTGTCCAATCAGCTTCAGAAGATCAGTGTTAGTCATCTCGCTAAGGAACAAAAAAAGAAGAAAGCACCAAAATACATTGATACGTCGAAGCTACTAACGTTCAATAGATCTAAGAGATCTAAAGCTTCATCTGTGACGGGGTCACACAGCACCTTGCGCTAGAGGAAGTTATCTTCCGAGAGTATACAAACTCTCAGTGAACGGCAGTTCACAGGTCCCCTCTTTAATTAAAGAGAGCGAAGTGACCTAAATAAGGTAGATTGTAAACTGAGTATATTTATAGGTAGGTTAAGTTTGTGGTTAATACAAACTATCAGTTACCTATAGAAATGCAATGTCATTTAACCAATGGTTGGTTTTGAATGACCTTGGTACCTTGTACCAAATATCCCGGAGTATGACATGTCATACTCCTGAAGTGTGAAGTGTCACACTTCATGCAACCAGGGTACACTTAGTGCTACGTACCCCGTTACATCCTCCCCCACTTAGGTTCGGTTTACCGACCAATCAGAATGAAGAGATGTTCGTCACAAACTCTCATTCTCAAAGTCGAAAACCATCGACTCGGCCGCGCGAGCGCGGCGAGAGGCTCACTTTACAGTTAGAGCCTCGAGCAGCAACCTGTGCGCTCTCGTCAAGGTCTCACTTCGACCGTTAACATGCCTCGTGGCACTGCTAAGAGCGGTGCTAAGACACGCTCCAAGGCTGCAGCCGGTAAGGCGCAGGCCAAGAGCACTAAGCCTCACGGCAAAGGCTCTGCACTTAAGGAGGCTACTCAGGTGGCCTCCGAGGCTATCGGATCCTCGGGTGACGCGGCTGCGGACAAGCGCGCAAGCAGGCGCCGCAGTCCGTCGCCCTCGTCTTCAGACAATCGTCCGAACCCTCGGTTCGTAGAACGTGAGTTCAACTCGGGCAGTGAGGACGATGCCGAGTCCGAGAGCACTCATGATGCTCCTGCGGGCTCTGTGGGAGGGCACAGCCCAGTGCCCAGTGAGCACAAAGAAGACAGCGTGCAGTCGTCCGCTAGTGATCACGGTGATCACAGTCCCAGGACCTCTGTGCGCTCTGAGAGTCCGGCCGTTAAGGCTAAGGGCACTCCCAAAGCCGGTGGCGATGAGGAAGGGAGTCCTCGCAAACGTCTCTCGCTTGCCGAGGGTCTTGCGCGCGCTAAGGCCTCTAAAGCCGAAGGCGCCAAGCCCTCAAAGAAGCGTACCGCCTCTAAGTCTCCACTCCGCGAGGAGAAGGAGAATTGACGCTCCTATCAGAGTCTCTTCGGCTCCTCGGATGAAGAGGAGGAGAAGGAGGAAGAAGAGGAAGAGGAGGGTGCCATTGTTGAGCCCCGGGAGGTCTCGAATGACCTCGACCAGCAGCAGGAGGATTTCCAAGCTGCCCAGCGTGTGCGTGGGGGTTCGGTGGCGGCACCCGTCAGCCAGGGAGCTGCCATCAACTCAAGAGGGTATTGGCCTCCCGAGGAGAGCTCTGGGGCTGACCTCTTCTTAGAGCTTCTCGTCGCTCCTCGTGGCCTTGTGGGCGGCCACACTTCTAGGGGCATCTATGAACGAGCCCTTGTTCAGAAAGAACAGTTGTTCGTCGACAACGTGGAGGCTGCTCGGTGTGTGCTTCTCGCGCCACACCGCATTCCCCTTAAGGACTTCACGACTTGTCGTAAGAAGCCCGAGACCCGGGGTGGTCTCTATCCTGTTTGGGGATACCCCTGGGTTATGCCCGAGAACTGTCCCACATGGGAGTTCTTGTGAGGACATGTTCTGGGCGTGGGTGGAGACTCTCAAGTACTCGCCCACGGAGTTATGGGGAACTCCATGAAGATCAGCAGCTGTCCCACATCCTTGGACCAGCGTGATCTTCGTGTGAGGGTTGCCCACGTTGATCAGCAAGCGTATGCTGCCAAGGGGACATCCCTGAAGCGCGCAGACTTCTAGCGCTCACGATGAGCCCGGGTACGGATATGTATTCATCATCCGTACCCCGGTTCGGGCGAGAAAGCCGCGGGACTACTTATGAAAGCTGCCGCCCGCTTCTGGTCCCAGATTGAC